TTCCCTGGCAAGTGCTAAAGGTCTGAGTTCAATCCCCGGTTCCACAAATCAAATCAAATCAAATCAAAAAATAAAAAAATAAATCCTTCTCAACTTTTTTTTTTTCCAGAACCAGGGATTAAACTCAGGTCCTTGTACTTGCCAGGCAAGCACTTATTCTACTGAGCTATCTCCCTGGCTCCTTTTCAACTTTGGGGGCATGCCATTTAGCTCAGTTGTTTAAGCACCTACTCATGTAAACACAGGCAGGTGCAGTATACTGTGGCAGACCCACCCTTAAGGCAGCCTGAACCAGCCAAAAAAAAAAAAAAAAAACTTCTAGAATAATGGTTTAGAAAATGGAAAGTTCTGATAGCTTCCATACTCACCTTTCTGATTATTACTGTTACAGTGCTAATTCTTATGAGCTGCTGCATAATCCCCTGTATCCACAGCTTGAATCAGAGGTTAATTAAAACAGCTCTCCAAAAGGAAAAACTGCCCAGGTTACCCAGGCCTCATGTATCTAAACCCTAGCTACCCTCAACATTCTTAAAAGCCAAAATAGACTCAGATGATGATGACTTTCAGAGTCCTTAAGGAATATCAAGAGTGGGAAGAGTAAAACAGAAATCGTGACCTAACTGCAGCCATTTTGCCTAGCACAGCTATACCCATTTCATTCTTTGCCACTGAACTTGGCTAAACCACACGATTCATTATCAAACTGAAATTTCTGCAAATATCCTAAAAGCAAATTTGCTAAGTGCACACACATCCTTCTGAATATTTCAAACCATCTCTGGAGTACTTATCATACCTCAGTGTAAATTCTATGTAAATAGTTGTACTGTATTTCTCAGGAAAGTGACAAGTCAGTGCAAATACTTTTTTGTTTTTGTTTTCTTTTAATTTTCTTTCGTTTATTTTATTTTTGAGACAGGGCCTTGCCATGTAGTACAAGCCAGTATTAAATTTGAGCTGTCCACAGATCTGTGATCCTCCTGCCTCAGCCTTCCATATGTATATACCATTATGCTTAGCTATATACACAATCTTATTGCAGAATGTTTCTTTTTTCTTTTTCTTTTTTTTTTTTTTTTTTTTTTTTTTTGTGGTACCAGGGATTGAACTTGACCCTGCACTTGCCAGGCAAGCACTTACTCTACTGAGCTGTCTCCCCGGCCCCAGGCAGCTACTAAAACTGTTTTTTGGGGGCTGGGGAGATGGCTCAGTGGAATAAGCACTTCCCTGGGAAGCGCAAGGACCTGAGTTCAATCCCCGGTTCCGCTAAAAAATAAAAAAAAATAAAACTGGTTTTTTTTTTTTTTTAACTTAGAGATATGATTTCTAGTCACTATAAAGATATATGATTTTCTAATCACTATAAAGATATGATTTCTAGCCTTGGCCATCTGTCTCCAGGCTCCTGAACCTATGCTCTTTGCAGGTATATCCCTTTTTCAGTATTTCATAGTACGAACGTATTGTCATCTGCTGTAACCCAAAAATCAAAAACCGGACTCAAACTTAAAAGCGCTTTATTTAGCTGAGCTCACTAACGGCACGTACTCTCCTCCAAGTAAGTGCGCCTTTAGTCTAGGTGAGGCACAGTTTTTAAAGGGAAAACCCACAAAAGTAAGGGGAGGAAGGGGGATTTTACAAAGCTTATATTGAGTTAGTCATGACCGAGGGTTAACTCTTTGTTCCCATAGACAAGGTCACATTTTGCAAACTCTACAGGAATATGTCCTTATTTGGCTTAGGCGTTGTTTATGTTCCAGTAGTCGGAAGGACATCTGATGACAGTTTCACCCATTTTCAAGTTATCTGTTTGTTCCCATAGGAAGGACAGTTTAACTCATTTTGCAGAATGTTGAGGAACATTTCTTATCTTCTCTCGGAATGCTGAGAAACACTTTCTTTAAACAGTCACATTCTTCAGGGAAGGCATGGGTGGGGGGTTTTACAAAACAAATCAAGGTTTTATAAAACAGAAGTTACAAAGCTTGTTACAAGATGGAGTTTGCGGTGGCCCTATCTGGGACGCTCCGGGGGGCCCAGGGGTAATTCAACTCCAGGACACTTGGGCCTTTTCTAGAAGTTGTCTTTAGCAGCCTCCTCTGTAGTGTAAGTCTGTGATTCTGTGCAGACTCAGGACCACGGGAAAAGCTGTTGCTGTAGAATGAAGTGTCCGCACCCTCGGGTTATAGGGACTGATGAGGCTCCAAGTCCAGCCCGTGCACAGGAAGCAAGTTAACGATTAATATGAAGCTCAGAAGCAGATAGTGCTAGACAATGAGCAGTACTTGGTACACATTTGGTTAGCGTGGCAGCATTTCCTTCTCCCACTGCTGCTGAGATGGCAGAAATTAGTCGAATTCAGTATGAAATGGAATACACTGAAGGTATTAGCGAACGAGGGTCCCGGAAAAATTAAAAGTCACACCATCAAATGCTGACCTGGAACAAGGATTCCAAGAAGGAGTTCCAAATGCTAGTGTGATAATGCAAGTTCCAGAGAGGATTGTTGTAGCAGGAAATAATGAAGACATTTCGTTTTCAAGACCAGCAGATCCTGACCTTATTCAGTCGACTCCTTTAAAACCTCTGGCACTAAAAACACCACCTCGTGGGCTGGTGAGATGGCTCAGTGGTCTAAAGCACCTACTTACAACAAGCTTAGCAAAGCACAGGGACCGCGGTTCAATCCCCCAGCACCACATGTCAGCCAGCCCTGGTGGATTGAGCTCCGCCCCCCATAAATAAATAAAAAGAAGAAAAAAAAAATAAAAACACCACCTCGTGTACTTATACTAAGTGAGAGACTGCTAGATTTTTTGGACTTAGAAAGACCTTCTCCAACCCCTCAAAGTGATGAAATCCATACAGGCTAAAAAGAGAGCCCTCTATGAGTGAAAATGCTGTTCGCCAAAGTGGAAAGCTGGTCAGAAATGATGCTATGTATGGCATTTTAAATGTAGATGCAACAATTGAAGGAACAGCGGATGACATGACTGTTGTAGATGCAGCTTCATTAAGACGACAGATAACTAGAAGAGGAAAACAAAGAACGTGCTAAAAGAGAAATGGTCATGTATTCAGTTACTGTTGCTTTCTGAGCTGCTTAATAGCTGGCTCTGGTTTCGCCGCTAGAGGTAACCTCGGTGTTCAGATATATTGTCTCAGCTGCTGGAAATGCAAAGGATTGGGGCCGGGGAGATGGCTCAGCAGAATAAGCGCTTCCCTAGCAAGCGCAAGGGTCGAGTTCAATCCCCGGTTCCGGGGGGAAAAA